AAATTCTTCCATGCATCAGATCAGAAGTATATCATATTTACAGTGTCAGCATGGCCTTGCTGATGGGAGCCTTGATCACCAATGCAGAAGAAAGAGGTTTTGGTGAACTGACCTGGCCAGATGACAGTTTTTATTTTATTTTATTGATTTATTCTTGGGAATTTAGCTAGACCTGCCAAGACCTTACTATGAAATAAAACTGAAAATGTCAATTTCCACTTATGTGCCTGTCCTGTTGCTTTACATTTGTCCATTCATTTGCTCAGTGTGTTTTTTGAGCATCTACCACATGTGCTGTTGCACGCACTGAGGTTACTGTGGGAAACTGGAACGATCAAGGGCCCTGCTCTCAGAGCTTGCAGGATAAGTGGGTGTGTGTCCACTTGCAGACTCAAACTAATATATAGATAAAGGAGAAAATGTCAGATAGTAACAAATAAATGGGAGATAATGAAGGCACGGTGACATGCCATAGAGCGGCCGCCGTGGATTGAGAGTCACACGAGACAGCTCTGAGGAGGTGAACGAGGCTGGTGAGGATGGAAAGAAGCGTCCAGCCACTCCGAGATAAAGGGCAAGGGCTTCCGGCCCAGAAACAGCACCTGCAAATGCTCTAAGGAAGGAAGCTATTTGGTGGGTTAGAGAACAAAAAGGCAACCAGCACAGTTGGCGGAGCAGACAGGGAAGGGCACTACGAAATGATGCGGGAGAACTAGGAGGGGCCAGACGAGGAAGGGGCTTCGGAAAGGAGGGCAGAGACTGGATCTTACTGCAGGCCAGCCAGATTCCCACTGGGGAATTATACACGGGGGAGGGTGGGTGTGATAAATAATATGTCTGATTTTAAAAGATCACCGTGGCTGCTGTGCAGGGAAGGGACTCAAGGGAGCCATGAACGGGAGACAAGGGGAGGCTGCTCCACTAGGTGAGGGTCAGAGGCAACGGCGATTAGGACCGGCATGTTGATAACATGGATGTTGTTGATGGGCTGGGATATGTTTTGGGGATGGGGTTGGCAGGTTGGACTGTGGAGGGTGAAGGCGAGAAGATAACCAAGGATGAGCCCTGGAATGTTTGTCTTGATGTTAGATGATAGTGTATCTACTGAAATAGTTGAAGTGGGGGAGAAACTGGTATGCGGTAGAAAACCCATTTTTATTCTGGCCATGTTAGGTCTGAAATGCCTCTGACAGCCCCAAGAGGAAGCATTTAAAATACGAGCTGACTATTCTGAGGAGATGTCGGAAACAGAGATAGTCTGGGAATTTTCAGCAGAGGGAATTGGAGGAGGTGGCCTCAGAGCATGTGTGGGCAGTGAAGAGGGGCTGCGTGGCTCCCAGTGTCCTGGGACCCCCAGTGTTAGTTGTTGAAGAAGGGAGGAGGAGCCCCCAACGAAGATGGAAGGACAGCAGACAGTGAAGCCCAAGAAAATCAGGAGAATACGGTGTCCAGAGAAAGCAAGTGGGAAGGTCAGCAGAATCAGTTCTCCCAAGTATCTTACTGAGATATGACGAGAAGGGTGACCAATGGGATTGGCAACATCGCTAAGATTGAGAGGATGAGGGTGTCTCCCCCAGAACACAGCAAAGGAGATCACAGTCACACACCTTGAATATCCTAAGCTTAATATTTCCCTTTTCTAAATTTTGCATCTTTTCACTACTTATAGCTCATACTTCTTATTTCTATAACCAAACTACTTAAATATGTACTTAAATATTTCTAACCTTATAAACACCTATTGTAATATATACAATGAGAACTGCTTTCATCAATATTTGTTGCCTTTCTTTTTCTCTCCTAATTTACCTTACTTTGTTCAGCATCAAGGGTATTCAATGCCAAAAGAGGTAGAATTAAAAACAGTTAATGACTACCCTTAGTAGAGAACTTTTTTTTCTGAAAAGAAATTTGAAATTATTGGCTAAAATAAAACTTGGTGACTATCTCTGGATTTCAATGATTCAAATCAGACATGATCCCCATTTTATTACAGAAAAACAAGGTCTACCTTATGTAGACTTGCAACTCAATCTTAGTGATGCAAAGGAGACTTGTGTGTCTTGCCCAACAATTCTCACGCTTTCCAATTTTTATTTAGATATTGAACAATCTCCACAATCCAAGCCAAGGGAATTTGGATTCATGGAGCCACTGAGTTGACTTGCTAGTGGGGGCTCTCATTCCATTCTCTGAACGCAAGAATACCCTCAGGGGAAATGGGTAAAGACAGCCGAAAGGTGCAAATTTGCAGTTATAAAATAACTAAGTCCTGGGGATGAAGGTACATGTGGTGGCTACAGTTAGCAACACTTTATAATATATTGCAAAGTTGCTAACGGAGAAAATCTGAAAAGAGGTATAGTGATGGATGTGCTAGACACTGAGGTGATCATTTCACAATCTACAGAATCATATTGTATGCTTGAAATTCATTCTATGTAAATTACATCTCAATTTCAAAAAGCGTTTAGGTGGGAAAAATAAAGTAGACATGCAGGGCCACCCAGCACACTTTTGTCTGATCTCAGTCATGAATAGTTGTTATTGTTTGTGTGGCAATTATATTTCCCACTGCAGCGACATTTCCAAGTGCCTAAGCTGGTACTCTGTGAACAGTAGTTAATACAGCTATTCACATTTTTCAGTGGGGACAGAGGGGCACAAAATTTCTTTTAACCTTAATTTCCATTGAGGCAGAGTCACCCAATTTGAGCAGGAACATAATATGAGATGAAAATTCAGTTTGAGAGGGAAAAATGAAGGTTAGTTAGCAGAACTGTTCTTAGAAGAAATAATAAAAGATGTGACTCCTGGCTAAGACATCAGAACATTTTCCCAAGTTTTTCTTTATTGCTGTGGACAGAGAACTATTATTCTTTTTTCTTAAAGCACATTCCTTTGGAAAGCTTACTCTAAAATCAGCCTTTACTTTTTATGATATTGTCAGGTCACATCATCAGGTAAATAGTACGTGTAAAGTTGGGAGGAATTTGCACTTCCTCAACTGCCATTCTCTAGTAGCAGAAAGTCCACATAACTATGTTTCTAACAAAGGCCTTGAGGTGATGCAAGACTCCAACCACAAAATAATAATACCTCCCATTTATGCGGAGCTGTACTTACAGACTATTTTCACGCACATTGTCTCATCTGGTACTCAAGTCCACTTGGTGAGGTGGCTGCCCCTCAGCCCACAGAAGAGAGAACTGAGGTTCAGAGAGGTGGAGGCCCAGGGAACTTCCACAATCATTAAGACAGAGCTGGGACTCCATGCCAGAATTCTTCGCTCTGACACCGTTTTTCTCCCCCACGGCTTAGCTCTGCAGCATCAGGAAAACAAACTCTGCAAAAGGTTTTGTGATTGGTTTATTTTATCCTGCTTGCTCGAAGAAGTAGCAGTTAGGTTTGAGGATTCGAGATTCAGCTCTCTGCTAGTTAACTGTGTGATCCCGGGAAGGCCACTTCTCTCTGTACATCCATTTTCTCAACTGCAAAAGGAAGGACTGAAAGACTCTTACAGCTCCCCGCATTCTGAAACTGTATTAACTAGAACATGTGACTGACCAGAATACTCTATTTCCCTGCTAGGCTTGCTACCCATGATATTTCTCCACGCAGTTCGGGGCACAGCATTTTCATTATACTGTGGAATGCGGTCTAGTTCAGCCTTACAGTGACAGCCTGTTAAATTATTCACCTAAATGCTCTTTGAGAAATTACAGACCTCTTTGAGTTTATCCTGTTTCCCACTAGAGTACCAGCTTCTGAAAGACATTATTTTCTCTGTTATTTCCTATTCGGTTATCAAGTATCAACTAAGTATATAATGTATACCAGGGAACAGACAATTATAAAAACATAATTTACATTTGGTTCATGAAGAGTTTATAAAGAATAAGATATAAAAGAACAGCCAAGGTGAAACAACTACAAATCAGTGAAAAGCTGAATCAGTGGAACAGACCGTAAGGACTATATAGACACTTAAGAATGCAAATTACTGAACAAATGTTTTGTTCTATTCATGCTTAGCACTATGATGAGGTAAAATGGAAAATGAAAAGGACTCTCCTAGGCTGCCTCTTTTTCAAGTTTCCTAACTATAAAAGTTTGTGAATTTGTGACTTTCCAACCATTTCATGTGTATCAGTTTCTAAAATAACGTATAGTCTCTTAAAGGCAAGGGTCATTTGTGTGTGTGTAATAAGTTGAAAGCAACAGATCTGATTTCTTTATATAACTTGTGGAAAAATCATCCTCCTTAATTTAGAATGAAAGCCAAGGTAAGGGGAAATTTGTTCTTAGAAGAGCATTTTTGTGGAAAGGAATGTGCTTTGAGACAGAAACAGCCTGAAGGTGGAGATGGACAGTTCTTGGGGTGAGATTCAGAGAAAAGAGGTATTCATTTGATGTGCTGTTTTCTCTTTATTTGTGATTTTTATCAATCAGTTAAACATTTATGGAGGCCCAAGCAAGACCAGACACCAGAGTTAGGGGTTGGGGGTGAGGGTGACAGAGAGGAAACACCCCAGCCTTTGCACAGCAGGCATTCTACATGCTGGGTTGAGGGGCCCCCACAGTTACCCAGCCCCTTGGGGACCAGAGCAGGGTGGGTGAGGTCTGCAAGCTGGAGTGCAGCTCTCTTTGTGGAGGCGCTAACTTTCCCAAACAGGTCCAAAATAATGATTATGGCTTTATTTGCCCTCTGTGGTATCAAACTTTCCCAATAGACTGCTCATAATGCCTATTTTAGGAAATACATTTGCCTACTTATGCCACTGCCACTGCAGGCAAATACATTTTCCCAATATGGTATCATCAGTAAATATTTGCAGTGCAGCTATTTTATATGACATGCTTATTAAAAAGGCCCTTGAAAGCACTCTGTTTGGTTCTTGACTCTTCCTAATACTATGAAAACAGGAATCATATCAAGAAGAGCAATGATGGAATTAAGTGATGGAACTGTAGAAATCAAACTTCTTCAAAAACTGGCATAATAATGATTACTATATTAGGCAGAACTCTTTTGATTCTTGATCTAGTTTGAAGTGTAAGGGGGTTGGAGGTCTGTGGCCTACAGAGCATGCATGGGGTGCGGTGGGAATGGAGCTTAGGAGTCAAGGAAGAGATGCCCAAGGCCTGGGCTTAGGGAGGAAGGCTTGGGGGCTGCTCCAGGGCCGCAGTCACCAGAACTAGACCCTCAGATGCTGCACGGTGACTGAATGCTCTCCGGTGTAGACAGGCTTTGCCACATGCAGGAGCACCTGCGGCTCTGAGAGCACAGGCCCGCAGAGAGGAAGCGCCTCTCTTTCCAGCGAAGTTCACTGATTCCCCAAGGAAGGACTGGTTCGGTCTGACTGGAGTATAAATTCAATGAGTGCGGCTCGGGGTAAGATGTGGTAGTAGGTTCAGCCTGAGATGTCCGTCCCCCCCACTTGGGGCACGTGAGCCACTGATGCCTGTTGGGGAAGAAGGGTGGGTGAGCGTGTAAAGACAACACCGGAAATAACCCCAGCTCTTGTTGATGGAGACCCTGCCGCCAGCTGCTCAGTTCCACGAGCCGGTAAGGCAGCTGTTACTATACCTGCTTCACAGAGTACAGCAGTGGTAACTAGCTCTCCAGGGTCATGCGGCTGGATAAAGGGAGAGCGCGATCTGGACGCAGATACATCTGATTTCAGAGCCCAAGTTCTTTCTACGTCATGCTGCCTTAAGAAAAAGAAAGAGGAAATGGGAAAAGCTGCAACATGGACTTTATCTAGATTTAGCAAGGATGGAAAATGCGGC